AGAGAAATCGCTAATCGTCTCTGAAAAGTGAAAAACCATGAAAGTTTAATTTTCGGAGACATCACTGAAATCTCTAATTTCAACGAAATTCAAAGTTTTTCAGACACTTATAAATGATTTTCAGAGAAATCGCTGACAGTCTCTGAAAAGTAAGAAACCATGAAAGTATAATTTTTAGAAACATCACTGAAATCTCAAATTTCAGCGAAATTCAACAACTTTCAGATACTTTGTAAATGATTTTCGGAGATATTGCTGAAAGTCTTTGAATTTCCTTGAAAAAGGCTCCGAATCTTACTAAAAATTCCTGAAAAATGTTTTCAGGCATTTTCAGCGAAATTTTCAGACAAATTCAGAAAAATTTTTTCACCAGGGATGTAGGTCAGGACAGAAGGCAATTTCTTGTATCATCTTTAGCTCTCTCTGAAATTTTGTTTTTAATAGTGATATTCGATAATTATTGCATAAAATTATTAAATTACTGTAATAAAATCAAATGGATTACCCACCGCAAGAGATAGTAGATATGATCAAACTTGTAAGATTATGTAAAAATCATTTCAAAGCTACTGAAAGGGAACATGCTCGAATATTCGAACTTTAATATATAGACGTCATCCATGTAGGAAAACGATAAAGAGATTACTTCAAAGAGCTGAAATGGGTTTATTAAAACGCAAAAGAAAAAAGACTGGTGCAAATAATGTTGCCACTATAGTAACACTAGCAGACGTTTTACAGAATCCGCAGTCGTCTAGCAGACAAATTGAACGTGTAGACATTAAATCTCACAAAAAACGTGTTTAAGAATTCTGAAAGAACAAAAGTTTCATCTATATCACATTGTTCTAACACATAAATTAGAAGACAGAGATTTCAATAGAAGATTACAATTTTGCAGTTGGGCTCAGAACTTGTTATAGAGATCCTTTTTTCTTCTCCAGGATTATTTTTACAGATGAATCGACATTTAATAATAGAGGAGTAAACCGTCACAATTGTCATTATTCGAATTGGTTCGAAAATAATCCTCATTGGCAGAGAAATGAAGAATTTCAGCACCAGTGGTTTCTAAATGTTTGGGCAGGAATTATAGGCAATTGTGTGATCGGACCTTATTTTTTCGAGGAAAATTTAAATGGTGAAACTTATCTGACGTTTCTTCAAAATCATTTATCATATCTTTTGGAAAATGTTACATTGGAAGTTCATCATGATATGTGGTTCCAACAGGACGGAGCTTTCGCCCATAGAAGTCGTCACGTAGTTAATATAACTACTTAAATAATCTGTTTCAAAATAGATGGATCAGCATCAGAAGTCAAACACAAAAATGGCCACCAAGATTTCCTGATCTTACGCCGCTGGATTTCTTTTTAGGGGGGGGGGGGGATACGTAAAAGAAAAAGTTTTCGCAACAAAACCAACAACTATTGATATCATGAAAATTCGTATTAGAAACGTATTCTTAGAAATTACTCCTGATGAATTGCAAAAATTCGAAGAAAGCTTTCGATTACGTTTAATAAAATGTGTCTCAATGGAAACTTGTTTGAGCATTTGCGTTAATATTACAAACATCATAGTGAGAGGCAAGGGAACTCACTTTAAAAAAGTACCCCAAAAGTGAGAGGCAAAGAGTCTCATTTTAAAAAAGCACCCCAATCTGTGAGAGGCAAGGGGACTCATTTTAAAAAAGGACTCCAACTCCACATAGATAGTAAAAAAATCAATTAGAATAACAATCTAAAACATCAACTTCAAATATTTAACGTTGGTTTTATAGTCAACTGATCAAATACATACAAAGAGAAATTTACGTGAGGGTAGAAAACATCTATGAAAATACATGATAAAAAATAGTCGGGTTATGCAATGACAACTTAAAAACAGCTGAAAGGATGTATGCTATTCTTAATTGTAAGTAGCAAACTTTGAAGTTACGTATCTCTGGAACGGCTTATGCAAAAGACAATTATCAGGTGTGTTTTGAAAACGTCTCGACGAGACCTACAACTTTTATTTAAAAAAAAAATAAAGTTCCGCTTAAGAAATTAGTCATTTTTTAAATTTCTTGAAAAGGCGATATTTACGATATGACTCACATCGGGATTATATGTCCCTCTTCAAACAACTTTTATCTAAAACATTTATTTTTAAAATAAAAAAATATGGAAGTTATTGGGGGTGGGACATTAAAATGACACCCTGAATACGAGGCATATTCGGAAAGTAAGCTTACGAAAAATGAATATTTGTTAATAAAACTTATATGACATATTACACAAGTAAAGCACTATTTTTCCACGTAATTTTTCGCCATTCCGTTTCAAGCATTTGGTGAACCATGGTACCAATTTTTGTATTCTTGTGTCACACGTTTCGGCCGCTACATCCCTTGACCATTCACACACGCCATCCTTCACTTCTTCGTCAGTAGAAAAACGTTTCCCGCCCATGTGTTTTTTCAACAGGGTGAAAAGAAAAAAGTCACTTGGTGCTAGGTCGGAACTGTGGCAGGATGGTTCAGAATCTCGATCGAACTCCTCAACAGTTTTGGTTGGGATATTTTGAATCATCCTGCTCATAGTTCCGACCTAGCACTAAGTGACTTTTTTCTTTTCACTCTGTTGAAAGAACACATGGGCGGAAAGCGTTTTTCTACTGACGAAGAGGTGAAGGATGCCGTGGTTAAGAGAGACGGTAGAGTAAGAGGTCACCTAGAACGTGTGAGACAGGAATACAAAAGTTGATATCATGACTCACCAAATGTTTAGAACGGCATGGCGATTACGTGGAAAAATAGTGCTTTATTTGTATAATATGTCATATAAGTTTTATTAATAAATATTCATTTTTCGATTTTTGTAAAATGTAATCTTTACTTTCCGAATATGCCTCGTATATACATATATATATGCGTGTGTGTGTGTGCGTGCGTGCGTGCGTGCGTGCGTGCGTGCGTGCGTGCGTGCGTGCGTGCGTGCGTGCGCGCGCGCGCGTGTGTGTGTGTGCGTTTGCGTGTGTGTGTACTTTTCACTTGGTAAACAAATACTAATCAAAAGTAAATATATATTTGCGCGTGCGCGCAAACACACACACACACACACACACACAAAAGCGTCGAAAATAGGCGAAAGTAAGCTGTTTTTCGCTTGACGAAGATCATTGCCCGCAGATATCTGGGCTGCACGCTGTGGTGGTGTGCCTGTTGTTGGGCGCGGTGGTGCTCGTAGTCGGTCTCGTCCAACTCGTCCCGGGTGCAACGACCACCAACCACAGGTTGGCGTTACTCGTGGCAGGCACTGCCCTACTTTTACTGGGTGAGCCTTTTCTTAGATATGGAAAAGCCTTTTTTTGTGCCGCCGCCGTTAGCTTTTATCTTGCATGTTGCGCACCGTGAGACACGCTTTTGCAGAATGAGCGGAAAATCTTAACATTATAATTCCATGTCGGATTCCATGTCCCAGATCGTTGAAGGATTCGAATACCGCGTTCTCCACAATAATGATTTATGTCAAGCCATGAAAATATTCCTGGCTTGTTTCATATGCGTTTCAATTGTTTTCACAAACTGTTTATTTATTTATGTGTGCGTATGATTGGAATAATAAATTTAGATTAAATCGATTTAGATTAAACACATTTTGGAGGAAGAACAGGAGATGTATGGAATTATTCAATAAACGCGAACTTTACGGCCAGTTCTGAATTGATTTTCCCCTTTAAAATTATCGAGAGGCGGCCGTTTAATAACCGAATACAGAGAATTAAATAAATAAAGGATTATAGGAGCGCTCGATCGATCGGCGTGTCGGTGACGCGCGCGCGCGCGCTTGTCACCATAATTCGAATCGTACGATTGGTGAGAAATTTTGACGCTGCAACGATACGCCTCTAATTTTCGTCGTTATTGTTTTCAGGCTTTATTTTGGCAGGCGTGAGATGTTATGTGTTACACTGCGTGCCGCTTCCGGTCGAGTCGCCAGTTGCGACGCCAATTCCGCCGCCTACGAGTGAGCAGGTGCCCGCCGCACCTAAGGATACCCTAGACCTCTTGGTAGGTCATCAGAGCCAGCCGGAGACCGACGCTTTGATGCAACATCGAGAGCACCACCATCATCATCAGCATCATCATCACAACAATCACAAGAAGAAACGCAGTTCTCAGGGCTCGCATTCCGAAGAGGCCTAAAATACAAAGGAACGAAAAGACAAAGGGTGAAATAGGGGAGAAAGGCGGGATATGGAATCTCATTCGAATTTGCAGCGAAAAAGAGTTCACTCTGAAGAGAGTGGTAAAAAGGGATGCAGGCAGTGAGGAGAAAGGAAGGCCGAAGTCGAATGAATTTCTTCGAAAGGGAGAACACATCGCCATTCTTTCACAGCATCTTCAAATATACGTGGAATTTCCCAGAACGTGTAGCGCGTCCTCCGCGAGCGGGGATATACTGGAAGTTGGTTGAGGAGAAATTAATCGGCTTGACGTCGAGAAGGAGGATGTACTGAAGGCAACGGTGAATTACTAATTAACGGCGTGAACGAACGATCGGATCTCGGGCCCCCCGAGAGGAAGCACCGACTATCTGGGACATCCTGTGTATATTCTGTACATATGCCAATGTATAGATATAAGAGTACAGAGTGGTTTTCTATCGCGTTTAAAAAAAAGAAAGAGAGAAAGAGACCCGCAGGATATGTTTCTTCTCATAAGAAAAATAGAAATAATGTTTTATTTATCAGAGCTATAAAACGAAAAGTTTATACTACATCGGATACGAGAGGGTCTACGAGATTTCGACTTTTTTGACGTTCTTTTTGTAATAAAGGGAAACTGCTAATCAGATTTTGGCGAAATATCGGCGAAATCCTAATTACATACATTGGTATCTATATAACGTATATTGATACATATAATATACGACAACATAACTAATTTACATTGCAAAGTATATCTATATGCCGAGGCAAGTGCACTTTTCTACCTGATGTACCGAGGATTCGATATATCTATAAACGACATTCTTTTATCACAAGACTTCTAGTAGAGAGATTTCGTAGAAAAGACGTTCAATTTACCGATTGATACAGAATGGTTCGTTATTGGCTATGTTACTGAGAAGGAGTGATGAGTTTATTTAAAAGTAACGGTTAAAAACAAAACAAAAGATAGAATAAAATTTTAAAAAATTCCGTTCTTGATAATCTTGATAATAGATATTCTTTGTCATTTGACCAAATTTTTAATTTTCAACATAAATTATTCCACGCTATCAAAATACAAAATAAAATAATTTAACAGCTTGATTAAAAATGATAAAAAATAGAAAAGAATTGTATTTTTTAAAATAGAATGTATTTATATTTGTGATGGAATATATTTATACTTTTTAAAGTAGAACATATTTATATTTACTCTTGGATAGCCGCTACGTTGAATCGGAAGTTAACTTGTCTTATAAATTGTCCTGGTGACAAAAAATTTTCATATTTTAAGAATTTTTTATTTTTAAAATATATGAACATTTATAAAAAAATTCTTTAAACTTCTTCAGATTTTATAAATTTTCTTTGCAAATTGTATGAGTTAGAAATTTTAGAATATTTCAGAATTTACATGTATAAAGAAATTCTAGAAAAGCTATAGGTTTTATCAGTACCTCTATTACAATTTGTTAAAATTTGAAAATTTTTTAAAAGTTAGATAAAATTAGAAAGTCTGAAAAATTCCGAAATTTGTATAAAAATTATACATATAAATTTGTATACAAAATATACATATAAAGAATTTTAATAAGAATATCAATAAGAATTTTCACCAGGGAGCGCTATTGACTTCTTAATCTTTTAGCTTAAAGCTTTAGCTTTGCTTTAAGCTTTTAGTTTTCCTTCTAGAATACGGAAACTCGTATACGACTTTATTTTTTGTCCTTTATCTATCCTTTTTTTTTACGTAAAATTATCTTTTTTCGAGTTTCGTATCACCGATAACGCGCCACTCTGTATACAAATCGTATTTGTTTCATTCGGAAAACACGTACGGGAAATCGGGGTATGTGAGAAACGTTGTAGGTATCTACGCGATTGATCTCATATGCGCGTCGTTTTATCTTCGATATTTCCGACGAAGAACCTCGTAGAGATAACACATTTATATAGAATTCGATTTAGAGAGTGGATGGTCAAGAGAGCAAGGTGAGGAGCAGCGACTGACGGAAATAAAAGTATAGTGTAGAGAATCGCGATTATATATAGAAAAAAAAAGAAACACGTCGATGTCGATACTTTAATAACTTAATTAGTGATAAGGAGATTTTTCCAGCACCTTTCGCGCACCAATTAGCAAAAACCTCAATGTTACTTCTTCCAGAAAGGTCTTACAATAGCAAATCGGGAACGAATGGTTCGCACACTCGCGGCTGTTACTTAAACGATCTTCGGAGAGCGTGTCATGAAACGCCGACACAGGAAAACGCGTCTTTTGCATAAGCAAAGAGTTATATGTACATTATCTTTTTACACTCGATATATATTTATATCTTAAGCGAGAGACATTAACAAAAGTCTGTGCCTGTGCGCGGAGAAAGCTTCGTTCGATCGTTCAAATTGATTAGGTTGTGTTTCGTTCAGTAGTCTGGATTCAAATTTTCCCGGATTTCGGTATATCACCGGTGTCACGGTACCGATTCTTATGAAAGGAATACTATTTAATTCGTGGAAGAAACGATTGGAAATAATTGGAAACCTATTTGAAAATCCAATACTGTACGTTATTCGTTTTGATGGTTTTTTTGTTTTTATTAATGCAATAGTATTTTTCCACAAAGTGATCTCGCGTCTTTCTGGCGAAAATCAAGATTAAAGCGTAAGTAGAGAATGGTGGAAAAAGTGACAGAAGCGTAAACGAAATTTCTATGAATCATAAATTTCTAGAAACAGCTAAACGTAAAAGAGGTGTTGAATCTCTTAACACTTTGACTATTGTGTTATCCATATTTTTAGATAACACGTAAAATTCGTAAGAGTCTCATGACTTATTTGTGGACGAAGGTTATTTATACGATTAAGAATGATTTCATTAAATATTTAAGACTAACGAATTATATAAATTATATAAAAAACAATAAAGTATTAAAATAATACCATATTTATTAAGTTCAAGTAAGCTGAAATCAGCTTGGCAGTCAAAATGTTAAGACACTTTTTTTACGTTCCACTGTTCCAATTTATTCCTAAAACTTTTGTTTACGATTCTATCGCTCCTCCCGGTACACTCGACTTATTTACTCGTATTTTTATTTTCACCAAGGCTCTTCCGTGAGCATATACGCTTTTGTTGAAGTGTAAAAGTTAACTAGTGTCTAAAAGTTAACTAGATACAAATCTGAAAATAATTTTGTTGGATTGTTAAAATAAGTACATACATAGGATGCTTGTTCCCAGACAGCATACGACAGCACACATCTCCAAAAATGAGTTATAAGACGCCTTAAAGATATTTTATTTATAATGTTTAAAAGATATTTACAGAATGTCTTTTGAACGTCTTATGTTCTACTTTTAAACTTTATATGTGCTGTCTGCATACATATAAACATACATGTTTGAGCGTTCCACGTAATATTTTGAGAACATAAAGTTGATAGAACAGAATTACTATTTTTAAATTTGTATCTAGCTAAATTTTTATACTTCGGCAAAATCGTTCCTTTCATGTATGGTCATTCGTCGCGTTAATTTGATCGTGATCAGAATTCGGTGCATTATTATTACAAATGTACATTTCTTACAAGAAAAATTCTCGGCGCGCGGATACACGTTTGTCTATTGGGGTCCACTTAAAGTTATCGCGTTTAAATTATAAAACGCTATACTAACAATTATAAGGATGTTTTACAAACTGACGTACAATATTAGAATGATCCCGATGTCCACGCGCAGCGAGATGTCGCGGGATCTCGCGATCGCATTACACTTCCTATGTTCTCTCATTCATGTAGCAGTCATTCAATAAGTAATGTAGGAGCAGAAGAGAATAAAATCACAAGCACACACAATACATTACCACATACGCGCGCGTGCAGAGAGAGAGAAAGAGAGCGAGAGAGAGA